CCCTAACATCATCACTAATTACACAGATTCTAGACAACATGACATACTCAACAATAATCACAATGAAGTTTTCTAACCCTATCATCATCACTAATTACACAAATTCTAGACAATATGACACACTCAACAATAATCACAGAAACATTTACTAACCGTAACATCATTACTAATTATTCAAATTCTAGACAGCATGACATACTCAGCAATAATCACAGTGGTTTACTAACCCTAACATCATCACTAATTACTAGGGGTGCGTATCTCATCATAGTAGTTGATACGATACATATCCAAATACAAACATTTTACCAATGGTTTGTTACAAAGGTTGACAGTCTTGTCTGTAATTTATTATCTATATTACTAACATTGTATTATTTAAGTACTGCATATTTTACAGTGCTTTTTCAAATTCTCAAGTTTGATCAGCTAAATGGCAGCTGACAAGAGAAGTAAAATGAAAAAAAAAGTTAATATCTGTCTATCTATTTTGTTATTGTTAATTTGTTATGTTACTTTTCATGTAATGTTTTTGATATAAAAAAAAAGAGAAGACAACATGTAGTACTCAATATTCATCCTTCCTTTATTGAATCGTTAATTTTAGCAAAAATACTTCATTAGAAATTCCAAATTTTTCCGTATGAAACTTATAATAATTACTGAAAGCTTGCCAAATTTCGTGTAGATATGTGAATCATATCGGATGATGTATTGATACAATCATATCACAGCTCATGTCATATCTCTGTATTGCTACACCTTTATAAATTACACAGATTCAAGACAACATGATACACTCAACTATAATCACAGTGGTTTACTAACCCTAACATCATTACTAATTACACAGATTCTAGACAACATGATACACTCAACTATAATCACGGAAGGTTTTCAACGTCAAAGTTTCTATAGAGAAGGAATAACAACACAATATTTGTAAATTTAGACCACTTGGGACATTTATAAAAGATCTTATGTTTCTGGGTAATCAATCAGTTGAGATTGTGAATAAAGAGTTTATGTAAACAAACATATTTACACACTTGCACATAAAATTATAAAACATTTTGGAATGATAGTTAAGTACTAATTTACCAGCTCTGTTCAGATCTATCAAAGTTTGTCCTTCATCGTGAAGAGATTTACCGCTATCTTGCTCCAGTTGAAGTTGTATCAATCCAACAGTTTTCTTGTACGGTCTTTTGTGGACAGCTGGATTAAATACTACAAAACTCAGAGATCCATTCGTTGCTAGAGGCATCCTCTGTTGCGTGATCTGATAGCCAGCCTATATATCAAGTAAAGTTTTCAAATACTACGTCATATTATAAAATTTCAGAAATAGCCTTCAGATTTTGTTTTAAAAAGTTAAATTATATAAAGAATATAATACTAGAGCTAAGTCCAGAGGAAGAACATATATTATAACAAGTAATAAAATAAATCCAGAAGAAAAACAAAAGCAATTTTCAATAGCTGATTAGTGAAACTGGGGTAATAACACACTAGTGGGTTAGTGAACCCTTGAAACACTTCTTAATCATAATTTACATCTTAAACATGTTTGTATTGAGTTATACAGATTTTTGAAAGAAGGAATTTAAATTTTCCATGTAAGATATCACACCCCTGAATAAACCAGTGCTATGTTTCCAAAGTATACATTTGTGTCCTCAGGCATCATTTAAAGATTATGCATGAAGAAATGTGAAGATGTGGATTTTTAATGTTTCCATAGTTGTAGTTGTCTTGGCAAAATAAATAATGGAGGATCTATAAACTTTACAGGATATTCAAACAACTTTTATACACTATATAAGACATGTATGCTAAAATAACAAAAAAAACAACATTCAACAGCTATACTATATTTAATACCTGTTATATAAATGAAAACTTCAGTCTGTACAACAAATATATTTAGTAAGTGTCTACCAGTTAGAGAGAAAGTTACACTTACCGGAAGATCAGCATAAAAATAATGTTTCCGATCAAACATTGAGATTTTATGAACTGTACAGTTCAGAGCCAAAGCAGTCAAGACTCCAGCTTCGACACAACGTCTGTTCAAGACCTGCGGAAGATTTCAAAATGTAATGATAATGATACACTGAAGTAAAAAATAAACTGCAATATTAAGACTTTATGAACTGTAAAGTTCAGAACCAAAACAGTCAAGAGTCCAGCTTCATCACAGTCTATGTTAAAAACAAGAGAAGATTAGAATCTTTCAAAATGTGTAACTCAAAACAAGATATTTACATGCAACAAAGTAAAAATAATAATAAATTCAAATAACTGCACTGATTTTTTCAACCTTAATAATGAGATGTTAGCTGAGATTTATCAATTAATCAGTTAACTGTTTTCATACAAAGTGGGTGAATTTGACCTACCCTGGAAATGTGAAACTACATACATAACTCCAAATTCACTAAGTGTATCTTCCCAAAATGTGGCAAGCTTTTAGAAAACATTATAAATATGTTATATACAAAAAATCAAGTATTTTAACTAAAGATCCATCTGAAAATGTAAGAAGCCTTTACAATCTGAGTTTGAGTACAAGGTGAATTTTACAGTCTGAGTGCAAGATGAATTTTCATGATAACAATAAAAATATTTTTTATTTTTACAGTTTTATATTTCATTTGAATAACCTCATGGTATTTCATTTGAATAACCTCATGGTATTTCATTTGAATAACCTCATGGTATTTCATTTGAATAACCTCATGGTATTTCATTTGAATAACCTCATGGTATTTCACTTGTATAACCTCTGGTATTTCATTTGAATAACCTCTCGTATTTCATTTGAATAATCTCTGGTATTTCATTTGAATAACCTCTTTTTAACTGTGTTAGTTGTCCAGAAATAATTCATGTATCTTTCAAAGGTGTATTTTAAAACACAAAAAAAAATATCAGATACTAGAATAAAATGTTTCAAAACAACTTGTTTCTACAGCCTGTATCTGTAGTTTGTGTATTACAACTTGCAACTTGTTTCTACAGCCTGTATCTCTGTAGTTTGTGTATTACAACTTGTTTCTACAGCCTGTATCTCTGTAGTTTGTGTATTACAACTTGTTTCTACAGCCTGTATCTCTGTAGTTTGTGTATTACAAGTAGTTTCTACAGCCTGTCAAAGTAACATGTCCAACTGGAACTTGCATTCCAGAATTAACAACTATTATAAAAATCTCTTGGACCTTAGCTTTATGTTTCCAGTTTGTTTGTTTTTTTGGAGATTTTTTCTTAAATTTAATGATTGATAATAAAATAAACATATACAACAGAAACTTACAGGCAGAGTTCCAGGTAAAGCAACATCAAATAATGACACTTGAGTATTTGGTGCTGCTGCATACTGGGTACCAGCACCAGAAAACAGCTTTGCTTCAGAATTAATTTGGGCATGGATTTCCAGCCCAACAACACTTTCCCAGCTACCCTTTGCTCGTCTCCTGCAATAAAACAACCCCATTAAAAATCATCACACTGTTAACATTTTACAATAATATAGTTCCCACTATTCCCAATATGTTACAATTTTGATGAAATAACAACAAAAAAAGAGCATTGATGTGGAATAACCCACTAGAAGTGTGAAGCCTCCTACTAGTAAAACTTGAGAAATAGTGATATTATTATATCATAACAGTTAATATAAAACATTAAGTTTCTTTTACCAAAATTTTCTTCATCACCCACTAAACTGTCTATTAACTGAAATAAGTGTTTCGGATTCTTTGTTTTTCCAACTTTTCAAGTAATCAAAATACTGTCATTATTATTTACACAGTGGCTAGATATCCAGACGCTGGGAACGATCTGTCAAATACTAAATACCCGGAGGTCCAAACTTTGAGTATTGATTAATTTCCAGATCTCTAGCCACCGCATATTATTTATCAGTATTTTTTATTCATTTGAGGTTTACTTTATGCTAGCAATGTCATGACTCATAAAAATAATTAACTATCAAAATTAGTTCCAGTTATTACTATTTTCAATTATTCCAGCTGTCCAAGTTTCATGTAAGAATAATTGATTGACCAGTTTGCAAATTCTTCTAACTGACCACCTCTACCCATATGCATCAATATTTTAAACCATACAGGGCCTATATGGCTGATAATGCCATGGACATCCACCTTTTTACCATTTAATATACATATATACACATTCATGGAACTATAAATACTTGCCATGTATTAATCTCATGGTGGAGCTATGGTCAGGCAATAGTCCTTCATAGAAAGTTATACCCCAATGCTTCCTACCAGCCTGCCTTACATTTTGACTGTCACTCGTGATTTGTGACCTTTTCTCACATTCACATCAATAAAATATCATAAAACATAGATAACATCATGTCCATTTAATAACCAAAGACGTTGGCACATTTACATTAATAAGCTGGCAACAGGACAATCAACATAACAGGAAAGTTTCTACTGAATACCCAATATCTTTGTATAGCGATCAAATTCTATAGACTGGAACAAGTGACACATGGTGTCAAATGGATTTCTTGGCCACCTACTGATCATTCTTTAATTAAGACAGGTAAGGCTTTAAAAGGTTATGGAATTTTGATAGCCATTTTGGCTTTCGAATTAATCATATACGTGTTCTGCCTATTTTCACTAAGGTGAAAAAGTTGGTTCTCCTTTGGTCATGAGAGTTAAACAAGATATTCTGTATCTTATATGTGAAACATCTATTAAAATATTTTGGGAAAATATCTTTTCAAAATATCTGGCATGAAAAATCTAATACTGATTACTTTTTTATTTTTATACTAAATTCAGTTGCTGCTAATGCTAGAATGACCAGTTTACAGATTGAATTTTAATCTCGTTTGAAGTTGTTTTGTATCTGAAAACGGTAAACATCAATCATTATGTTATTTGAGTTTAATAATTACAGTAATAGTCATATCATCTTACAAGTTACAGATTTGAATTAAAGAGACACCTTCGGTTAAACTTAAAACAAAATATAGTTTGTGTTTCGTATATTGTACAGTTTTATTTGTACTAGTATTACTAGTGTTAGTTAGACTCAAAATAAGAAATAGTTAAGAAATAAGAAAGTAATTACACAGTCTTGATAACACTTACAACCCCGAGCTCAAATTTGAAGAATCGTGCAGTTTACGTTCCGAAATGCTTTTGAAAATCCTTGAATAATTCACATTTTTAATAACGTGTTTACCACAGAAGCTACATAAAAATTGCTGACCCAAGGATAGCGCCATATTCATTACACGAAAACCCGAAAGCGTTTCAAGCCTTTATACACAATGTTCATATTACTCAAAAAAAGGAAGGTTGGTTATTATTATTTTGTTGTGAAAAACCTGATTTGCATGGAGTAGAGCACATGGAAAATAGCCTTCTGAAATATTTGTGAAATAATTAAAACAAAATTTCGATAAAAATTTAAGTCTTTGGAAGATGTTTAAATAAACATCTATGTGAGGTATAAAAAACTGTTTAGCATAGGTAGTATTAATTAATTACAATATTTTGTGAGTTAATATTTCATGATTGTTTAGTTATTTTCATAATAAGAGAGTTAAAAGCAGACGAATTATTGGAAGTTGTGTTTCTAAGTTATTGATGTCGAGGTTACGGAGATTTCTAGAACGCCTCAGTGAAAGATATATAAAAAGCGGCAACCACACGAAAGCCCAGAGTCCAGAGAGCCAAAAGTAAAATCGACCGAAATAGAGTTTCGGTCAGAGAAAGGTTAGAAAACGTAATGTTACGTCTCCGTTTGTTAATTGATTTTCCGTAAATTCGTTCGGACGAAACTTTAGCGACACAAGTCCTTTCTTAAATAAAACTGGTTTATTCTTCCGAATAC